ACGAGATGGACGAGAGGTACGAGAGGGACGAGAGGGACGAGAGAGACGAGAGGTACGAGATGGACGAGAGGTACGAGAGGGACGAGAGGGACGAGAGGGACGAGAGGGACGAGAGGGACGAGAGGGACGAGTGCGACGAGAGGGAAAGGTGGGACGAGTGGAACGAGAGGGACGACAGGTACGAGAGGGACGATTACCTTCTATGACTCAAGCAAGGGTGTTTGCTTCTGCAGTTGTTGTGAATCATTTTGAATATTGACATTTGTTAACGAATATTGGAACACTAACACAGTAATGTAACATAAGTAGAATGCATTAAACAGAAATATGAGACCGCAAAGAACAAAGCATATTGGGACCGTAGTCATTGATTAACTATAAATTATATAATTATTAACGTTTAGCCAATACATCATAACCAAATGAATTTTGTACCTGCAACTTAAACAGAACGTCTTACAAAAATTAAATGAATTGTTCAGCTCCAGTATGATGTTAAATAAAACGTTGACCGTTAAACATTAAACTCAACTGGTGCCGACTCTACTGCATGCTCTGATAAAAATATTTTATCACAATTGAGTTTAGGTTTCGTTGTAGTTTTGCTGAAGTAAATTGTAGTAAAATCTTTTTATGAAACATTGTGCTATGAAACTTATGCTATACTCATTTGATTTTAACGTTTAACATTCAACTTCTTATATCTTTATAAAAACTGTTTTAAATCCATAAAAATGTCTTGCTTTGTGGCACCATGTTTAATTTATTTGTCATATAAATAAATGTGGTTTTGTTCACAATCATACTATGAAAACCCACACAGAATATATTACATAATTAACAAATTATCAAGCTTAGAACGAGCTTAATTAAATAGCTTAACAAAGTTAGCTATATTTTACATAAACCATTGTGCATAAAGAGATATATAAGAGTCCTAGAATTATAATGACAATGTCACTACAAACTTAATTACAATCGTGGGAAAAACTGTTGACTTGTGGATAGCGCGTGCGCAAATGACAGTACATACTTATTTATTTATTTATTTATTTATTTATTTATTTATTTGTTTATTTATTTATTAACACTTTGCCTTAAATTAACGACTGAAAACCGCAACAGCCTAGGCCAATTACTGCGGAACCATTACATGATAAATAGTTCCAAACTCGTCTCGATCTTACCAAGTACGACCTAGCGTATGTAAATGTTCGATATAGCTGTTCCTCTAATACAATAGAAGTATAGGAAAGGGGGCTTCTGGCGCGGGTGGTCGAATGCCTCATAGCCGAGCTCGAATGGCTAGGAGCCAAACTCGATAAGCTCGGAGCCGAGATCAATAATCTCTAGGATTCAATCATTCAATCTGTGATCCAGTGATTCTATCTTATGATTCAATGATTCAATCTTATGATTCGATGATTCAATCTTATGATTCAATCTATGATTCAATGATTCGAACGTATGATTCAATTATTCAATCTATGTTTCAATGATTCAATCTATGATTCAGTGATTCAATTTTATGATTCAATCTATGATCAATGATTCAAATGTATGATTCAATGATTCAATCTATGATTCAATGATTCAATCTATGTTTCAATGATTCAATCTATGATTCAGTGATTCAATTTTATGATTCAATCTATGATTCAATGATTCAATCTTATGATTCAATGATTTAATCTTGTCATTCAATCTATGATTCAATGATTCAATCTATGATTCAATTATTCAATTCTGTGATTCGATGATTCAATCTTATGATTCAATGATTCAATCTATGATTCAATAATTCAATCTTATGATTCAATCTACGATTCAATGACTCAATCTATGAATCAATGATTCAATCTGATGATTCAATCTATAATTCAATGACACAATCTATGATTCAATCTATGATTCGATAATTCAATCTTATGATTCAAACCATGATTCAATGATTCAATTTTAATATTCAATGATTCAAATGGAGCTCGGCTCAATGATTCAATAACTTAATAGCTCGGAGCCGAGCTCCATTTGAATCATTGAATACTAAGATTGAATAATTGAATTATATATCAAACGTACTTGCAGGTTCGGTGAGTCCAGGATTGGACGCACCTCGGGTGGCTGGAAGTTTCCTTGGTTTTTATCCCATACACCGAGCCATACACACATTTGTAGCTCTTCGCGATATATTTGTCGATGTTTTGGCAACATTTTCTCGGCCAAAAAGATCACTGGGCTCTTAATACTTTTTTTATCTATATCTATATTACCTTTATTTCATTTTTTCTTTGATTTTTCTTCAGTATCAGTATGTTAGTCACCGAAAAAGTTATTTAAAGTTTAGGTTTATCGGCTAAATCTTGTCCGCCATATTTGTTATTGTTTATTGCAACGTGAGCAGTTTCGCTGGTGAGTTCGGCGAAAAGCAGGTGAGTTCGGGCAAAAAGCAGGTGAGCTCGACGACAAACTCACCTGTTCTAAACCAATCAGAAAGCCGCTTTTAACACAGGTATGGGATAATAGATTGAAACATTGAATCATAAGTTTGAATCATTGAATCATAGATTGAATCATTGAATCATTGATCATAAATTGAATCATATTGAATCATAAGATTGAATCATATTGAATCATAAGATTGAATCATCGAATCATAAGATTGAATCATTGAATCATAAGATAGAATCTTTGGATCATAGATTGAATGATTGAATCCTAGAGATTATGGATCTCGGCTCCGAGCTTATCGAGCTCGGCTGCTAGCCATTCGAGCTTGGCTACGAGGCATTCGAGCTCGGTTCCGAGCCATTCGAGCTCGGCTCCGAGCCTGTGGAGCACGGCTCCAAAACTATGGAGCTGGCTCCGAGCCTATGGAGCTCGGTTCCGAGCTCATAGAGCTCGACTCCGAGCCTATGGAGCTCGGCTCCGAGCTAATCGAGTTTGTCTCCGAGCCTATGGAGCTCGGCTCCGAGCCTATGGAGCTCGGCTCCGAGCCTATGGAGTTATATAACAAACGTACTTGCAGGGAGGTGAGTCCGGGATTGGACGCACCTCGGGTGGCTGGAAGTTTCCCGAACTCACCGAGCGAAGCGAGGTGAGTTCGGGAAACTTCCAGCCACCCGAGGTATCCCATACACCGAGCCATACACACATTTGTAGCTCTTCGCGATATATTCGTCGATGTTTTGTGAACATTTTCCCGGCGAAAAAAATCACTGGGCAAGAAAATAATTCTTTATCCGCGTCTAGATTACCTTTATTGCATTTGTTCTTTGGTTTTTCTTCAGTCTCAGCAAGTTAGTCACCGAAAAAAGTTCTATAAAGCCTAGGTTTATCGGCTAAATCTTGTCCGCCATATTTGTTATTGTTATTGCAACGTGTTTCGCGGGTGAGTTCGGCGAAAAGCAGGTGAGTTCGGGCAAAAAGCAGGTGAGTTCGGGCAAAAAGCAGGTGAGCTCGACGACAAGCTCACTTGCTCTAAACCAATCAGAAAGCCGCTTTTAAAACAGGTATGGGATAAGGCTCCGAGCCTTTGGACACAAAGTTTTGGAGCTCGGCTCCGAGCCTATGGAGCTCGGCTCAGTGGCTCCGAGCCTTTGGAGCTCGGCTCTGAGCCTATGGTGCTGGCCAATAACTCGGATGGTGAAAGCAGTCACAATGATGAAAGGAGCACGTTGACGAATCGGATAGTGAAACGTCTCAAACAAGTGAGATATATATTAGAAGCATAACTTTGTAAAACATTTTGAAGAAATAAATGTATTTGTATTTTAAAATTGAAGTCTTGCAAAGCCAGGCGCCCGATTTTAAGGTAATAAATAATCCCTATCTATCCATAATAAGCACCTTTAAAAGAGATTAAGATTTTGCTTGTAATCCATTAATTAACAATTATTCGCCGAAGGCGAGGTGAATATCGCTGAATAAAAACCGAGACGAAGTCGAGGTTTTTATTCAGCGATATTCACCGAGCCTGAGGCGAATAATTGTTTTAGTATAATTACAAAGGTGATTATTTGAAAAAAATAATATAACACATCTCAATTTTTTGAAAATCGTTTAATTAAATTCATAAAGAAAGCGGTATGCGCAATGAAGGCGCTCGTATCGCCATCAAGATTCAAGGATGTTTTTTGTAGTAATTTCTATCACTTTTTCTTACAGAAAGGTATAGAATTTTGATAAAAATTCGGTTCATTTCGTCAATACTCATGTCTTCAAACTCATTTGTGCATTCTGACTGTTGTTGAAACTAATCTGTAGAAAATATATTTTTACAAACGTAAACAAATGTCTAGACAATTCACAATTGTACGGCAATTTAAAATAAAACGATGTTTTATGCGAAATAAAGTTAAGCAGATTTCTGCAACTTAGTTTCCTACCTCGAAATAATTTTAAGCCAAATTTTGTCTCTTCTTTCGTGCTCGTAGGTACAGCATTTTCTTTAAAATTACTTATTTCTTTATCTGTCACTTTGGCAAAACAACTCGCCGCCATTTTGAAAAAACCGCTTAGGTGATTATCGCGTAATAATCCGAGGTCGCTTGAACAATCAGCGGCCACAATTTTCGATAATCACCTTTGTAATTATACTAATGACTGTTAATGACTTTGGCGTTATACGTTTTAGAGAGCCACTAACGACAAAATTTCGATATATCTTGCATATAATCT